TGCAGAAGAATGCATATTGATTTTAAGTGATTGCAAATTTGAAGTGAAAATGTGAAAAAACGACAAATGTCAAGTGTTAAAGTTCATTGTGCAGTCATCAAATGAATTCATACATAATGCATATGAATGTATGTACAGACATATTTATGTATGAATGAATATAGGTAACGCAATATATGTATTGGTATACATAAAATGTAAAAACTCAGGTTTACTACCTATAGATATTTCTTGCCGCATACTGCTTGTATGTGTGACGATATATAGCACATACTTTTTGCTCATATGTATATACATAATTGAAAATTAATAGATAAATATTGAATTTTATAATAAATTACGAACATGTATGTAATTGAGGAAATGGTAGGCATTGATAAAAGAATAATTTGTTTAATTATTTAGGATGCATATATGCACTCACACAATTAATTCGCCACTGGACAGAGTACATTAAGTTTAACACGCAGTTTATAACACCCAGAAGGAAGCGTCGAACACCTATAAAGTATATACGTACATATATATAGTATATGATCAGCGTGACGAGCTAATATTGGACCACTATAGCATATAGTTGTCATATAAACTGATCGATCGGAATCAAGTTATATGGAAAACTTTTTTATTTGGACAAACATCTTCACGAAATATGTCACATATTATTATTTAAGAGAACGCTACAATCTCTGTGCAAATAGGTCAGATCGGACCACTGTAACATTTAGATAGAATTCAAACTGATCGATCAAAATAAAGATGAAGACCTTTTTACACCCTTTTGTGCCATAAGAAAGGTCCCTGTGAAGCTTCGGTGCAGCCAAAGTTAACATTTTTTTTCTTGCTTTTGTGGGAATTTGGTGACTAAAATATAAAAAGAAAAAAAATTATAATATTTAAAATATATTAAAATTTAATAAAGAGTTTGATATATTGTGCATGACGACACATAATTAAAAAAAAAATTACTGCATCGAACATTTTGTTGCTTTTCTAATTATACATATCGCATTTAAATACAGTATGGCCTTCTATATTCTGTATTTGATTATCTTCATATAGTTTGTTGTCATTCATCTGGTCGCTAACTACTGATTCACAGTAGCACAAGTCAACAGTTAAACCCAGGTCTTCTTCTTCTTTGACACCAGTTTCTGGTGGTATCTCACGACCGTCTTGCTCGGCATTTATCTTAAAGGCCGCGAAATGTAATGAATACTACCGATAATGTTCAAACTTAACGGAACCGTTTAAAAAAGTGTAGTGACGTAAAATTACAACTTTTGGTTGGAAATTTAGCAACAGACCTTAATCTTAAGAAGATATCATAGATTGTAGGGCATGGCGTGTCCTCTTCCAAAAATCTCTCAATGGCCATGCCTTCAATTTCCTGCTTACCGATAATAACTGAAATGACGTTACCAGATGATTTTTTTATAGAAAATAGCGCAAGTTGCCATCGCTTAAACATTCACAGCAAGCTGTGGTACTTTGAGTATATTTTGACGACAATAATGAGTGCTGGTTTTCTGCGATCTTCAGTTCACGACAGAATAGCTTTAGGAATAATGATACAGTAAAAAGTTTTGGCTTGGTTATCATTGAAATGGTGAATGTTTTAAGTTTCTCAAAGGTTGTGATGGTAAATATTTGATTAATGTGAAAAAAATAATTCATAGAAAAACAGATGTTCAAGAAAATTTTGCTATTATACTTCAAATTTTTTCGCACTGTGCATCCAACTTTAACCTTAAAGCGACTCTTCGCCAATATTAAATTTGCTGCTGATATGCCAACGTTTTATGACGGCTGATAATAGAATGTTTGCAAGAAATATGTCAAAAAGAAAAAAAAAGAGTGAAATGCCAACAAAGTTGCCTGCCAATAGAGCAGCTATTTGTTGTTGGCTTCAATTCTTTATTTTCACTGTTTTAAGGCAACATAACTACAACTCTTCCTGCAGCATTTCAAGACAGAGACAGATAGTATGCCAATACACATGCAATTATGGGCGAGCCTGTTGAATACCCAACGAAGACAGTTACGAAAGCAGATTGTGAGGGGGAGCATATTTGTGTATCGAACTGAGACAAAGTAACACAATGACGAGAGGCTAATAAATTGCCAAGCCATGGATGGGTAGATGTTTTTATGTATGCATATGTGTGTGTTTGTGTATGTAATGCTCGTTTTGAGCCTCTCTCTCTGTATGGTTGTGTGTGTGTATGCATATTTTTGGCCACACCCACTAATTAGACGAGTAGGTTAAAAATGGGTGCTATCACATTACGAACACACAAACATACGTTTGCATGTGTAGATATGTGCGCAGTGGACATGCGCTTCTTGGTGGTTCTCATTTTCGGCACCACTCTTTTGCGCATACGCTCTTTCTACGCATTACTTTCCTGCCCACTTTCTCTAGGTGCTAAGAAATGCTCCTCTCTGTTAATTCGTCCTCACACACACATACACATGTACATATGTATATTCACTGTTCGCCAATGAATTTGTTTACCATTGGTCCACTTGACAGTTTTTTCTCAGCTTTACTCTTGCCAAATTTGCTTTGTTTATTTTTTCGCAGCTTTTTTGCTTTGTTTGTTGTACACTCTTTTTTCTGGCTCACCTGTCAGTCGTGCTAATAATCCGTCGAACTGAGTCTCTTATTGTCCATTCGTAGTTTTCTTTGATTGCATTGCATATGGCGTGTGTGTCTATGTGTGTGTGTGTGTATTTATTTGTTCTGTTTGGTCCTCTGCTCGCTCATTTCGTTGTTGCAGTGCATTTCTGAGCAGTAAGTGTAGATTTAGTTGATGTACTTTTGTTTGGTGGGTACTTTGACTGGGCTGCTGCAATGTCTGGAGATGCTTGCGATGTTAAGCGTTTTTTGTTTTGTTATTTTGCGCCTCCCTTCCCTCCTCTACGCTATTGCATATACTCGTACATACCATAACATATGTATATCTTGTTGGGTAAACAAGTAATTCTTCTCTCTTACGTGGTTCAGTAGTTATTATTTATTTATACATAAATGTATGTATACATGCATTTGTGTACGTTTGTAGTTGAAGTACTTTAAAGGAAAGACTTAGACTACTTGTCCACGCTATCAATAGCCCATGGACGGTGACTTAAAACATAAGATTCTTTTTTTCAGAGATCGATACATTATTCTTCATATTAACTGGTCTGTACTTAATAATACTTAAATAATACAGTTATGTGGCAGTATACAAGACCAATGAAGCCGTTTCCCTATTCATAGATTTAGTTTTCTAACTTTTCCGCCTTCATTGCGATAGAGTCTTCGGTAAACTATTCGCTTCAGAAAACCGTTATTTCCTTATAACCGTAAAGTATAAGTATATACAAGTATAAATGATAATCGTGACAGGCTGAGTCTGTTTATCCATGTCCCTCTGTAGTATATACGTGGGATATCGATCTGAAATTTTGTACACGTTCTTTTCTCCTCAAGAAGCTGCTCATTTGTCGGAACCACCGATATCGGACCACTATAGGATATGGCTGCCATACCAACTGATCGGTCAAAACGAAGTCCTTGTATGAAAATTTTTTTTATTTGAAAAGATATAATAACTCATTTATTAACTAAGAGAGCGCTACAATTTCCGAACATATTGTTCAGATTGGGCAACTCTAGTCAAGTCCTAGTATGGAAAACAATTTTATTTGTTAGGGTATCTTTACGAAATTTGGCATCAAGTATTGTCCAAAGCAACGCGAAAAACTCCGAACATATTGTTCAAGTCGTACCATTATAGAGCTGTCATTCAAACTGATTGATCAAAATCGAGATAAAGATTTTTTTATACACTTTTATGCTATAAAATATACACATGTGAAGAGTATTATTGCTACAGTGCAGGTGAAGTTAAACGTTTTTTCTTGTTGGTTGATGATGGTTCTTTGAAATCCACTATTTCTGATGACTAAGTCCGAGACCTGGTAGTTATTATTGCTGGATTATTAACAGCGTATATGGTATATCTGACCAAACTAAACTCCTAAACTAAGATAATTCTTAACAGTGTATATGGTATATCTGACCAAACTAAACTCCGTTACTAGTACAAAAAGGAGTAGGTTTGGTCGATTCAAGTAAAGACTTTATGAAGTGAGTTGGTTTTTATGGCTCTAAACATTTCATAAAATGTTCGTTTAAGTTCCGGGGAAGCAAAATATCCCAGGTTCCAAATCTCTCTAATTAGGAGACTGATGTACTTGTAGTCGTTTCAAAAAATTCTTTTAAGTTGCTGGCACGAAAATCAGAAATTAAAGGTCATAAATTAACCACAAAAAGTTCATGGATTACTCAAGCTAATTTTTACAATGACTTTACCCTAATGTCAAGTCGGTCTCATAATCACGATACAATACTAATTTTGCATATGACAAAAGCTAGGAGCAAACCTAATTGATCTTATAGAGTTTTGGTTGTCACAACATAAGTTATATATGGTATTACCATCGGGAGTCGCTGTAGGGTTCTGAACAATAAAAATATATCCAAGGTTTATCCTCAGAGTTTTTTAAATAGCACTTATGATGGCAAAGCTGATAATTACCTGAATAATAACGAACACTCACTAAAACCAGCAGCTAATATAACACTGTTTACTCGTAAATATCTATGCATACATACAAGTATATACTTAATAATGATGTTGTTGATGATACTGGTGGTTATGTGGCCAGCAATCATTATGGCTGCTCTGTGCCAGTTAGGTAGAGAGATAAACATGCAATGTGACACTTTTTGTGCGCATCAAATGAAAAACTCCCTAACACCCCTAAAATATTGCGTATTCATGAGTTGAATGTTTCCGCGTGTATGTGTGTGTGTGTGAAGATTTGAGAGCAATAACAGAAAGAGAGCGCATTTGGGGTGTATGAATGAAATGGATTATACTTTGATGATGTGAGAGCTCTCACCCCCTTGAAATATATACATTTGTATATGGATATGAATGTAAATATGTTTTATGATATCATTGTGTCTCTCTTCGCCAAATGTTCACCGATTTTCATATGTTTATTATTGTTGCAAGTAATGTAACTGTAGTCGCCGACATTGGAGTGCGCGAGTGTGCATTACGCCATAGTGAAATTCCGAGCAATGCGTTTAAGCAAGCGCTTTGCCGACGGAGTATTATAACGGTAAATCTATCTAAAATGTTTAGTGTGTAATCCTTACAAAGGACTATCTTGGCGTGTGTGGGCGTCAAGCCAAAAACCACCGTCACCGCCGCCATTGCTGTTGTCGGTTGCTCGTCTTGCCGTCGCTGTCAACTGTCAGTTGTCAGCTGTCAGCTCATCAATAATTTCTAGGCGTCAAGTCAGCAAGGCAATTCATACAAATCGACACAAATGTTGGGTCACTAACATAACGGCGCCTGTGTGTGTATGCGCGCTTACTGTGTTGGTGTGCTTTTGCCACCAGCGCAACGTTTGGCGCCTCTTCAAGGCTTTTTCTGAGCCACTTCATCGTCCTTTGATATTTTTCATCTACAATTGCATTTATGCTCGTGTGTGTGTGCGTATGGAATGGTGTTAGCTATGGACACCCTGTCGGCGCTAAGCCCACGCACACATGCCCATTTGGTTTTGCTGCCCGCCTGCCCCCTAACGCCACACACATATGTGGCGGCAACTTAATACATTAAATGGGCGCCAAAGTGTGCCGATATGCAAATATGTATTGGTGTTTTTGCGGTAACTTGGTCACAGTTTTGCATTAATTTACCTTCCGTCATAAATTAAACATTTGCATTTTAAAACTGACGTCGCCATTGACAGTCGTTGTATACGGTTAAGGCGGGCTTTTTGCACGATTTCGTTGAATAATTATAAATGTTATTGGAAATCGCCGAATTACAATTAAAAAATAATTAAATAAACAAACAAAATATAAAAAATAAATAATATAAAATAAAACTAAAAACAAAAAAAAACATATAACAGATTATTATAAAAATAAGAAAACTAACAACAAAAAAACAAAATTCTGTGCTAATAAAATAAATAAAACTATGTGATAAGTGAAAATAATTTGTTGGTGTGTTGTGCAAAAAATATATCTAAAAATAATACTACATGCATAAAATTAAAGAACATGAACTACTGTTAGCTGTATCTACACACTTCTGGAACAACAACGGCTTATTTGCTGTCTAGGATAATAATTTCTCCACAATCAGGTATGTAGTTTTGAATCACAATGTTTATTCAATATTAATAATTTTTAATTAAAAATACGGAATATTTTGTGTGCGATACGGTCGGGTATTAAAATGCTTGATTTTATTTAAATTTAAGTTTTTTTTTTATCGAAAACGGCCCACGGTGAACGTGTTTAAAAGCAAAAATTCAGTTTCTTGGCACTTTAAATTGGTTGTAAATATATCTATATTTAGATTACTTGAAGTACTCAATATTCCACCGATCTGTAAAATGGCTTCAAATTGTCCACTTGGCCAAAACGAGAAATCGCTTTTCTAATTAGATTTATCCATTCACCAGTCAGAACTGAACTGTTTTTATTTCATTTATAATAAAATTACGACAAATTTTAATTAAAAAGACACTTTCTGAGCCATACAATTTATTTAAAAAAATTACAGTTATATGATATACAGCGTCTACCAATAGGGATGAAATGATTTTGTCAGTTTTTTTGACAGATTTGTGTCAAATTTTGTCAATGTGTTCACTAAAGTTTGCCATTTCATCATGTGCAAAGTGTGGCGATTAATTAATTTCAAGAAAGCCCAAGAAGCCCAGTCAAATGGCAGCCAAGATCATGCGATTTAACGCCTCTATATTATTTTCTCTGGGAGTAAGTTTAATCAAAAGACAACATTCAGCACACATAGCCGAATTTCCAGCCGAAATGCTGCACTGGGACATCGAAAATTAGCGGGTGAAGATATATAAACGGGAAGTGGTGGGTATTTGTCCAACAAAAAATAGAACCCATTTTTACCAAATTTGAGTGTTTTATATCATTTTCACATCACCTCGTTCTTGTTGGTACACCCTTTAGTTACTTTGACAGTACAAATGGATCTCACATTATTTTCAGTAAAAACAAATTGTCAAAAAATTAATTGTCATAATATGAGACTCTATCAGTATTTAATAAGTTATTTGTACATATGTATAACGTGTTGTTATTATTGACTTGCTGTTAGCCTTTGCCCGGATGACCCACAAATACAATACATTCAGCGAATATGAATGTAGGTCAGCTGACTCTATCGCAGCTTCTTAAAAAAATAACAAAAATCACGTGTCGATTAAATTAAGACATGTTGAGAACCAATGCTAACTCTCTTAATTCAACAGAGGTTGATTCAAGACTTGTGTTAGACAAACTTTCTACGATACCATGACTTTTACTGAATTTGTCTATGTCACTGTAATATTTGTATTGTCTTTAAAATATATTCCACAAAAGACTCTTGCAAAATTCGGTTTGAATTACTAATTTTGAGTTTGAAATTAAATATAAATAGATTGTTTCATATTTCAAGAGGTTATATATAATATTTAATAAAAACATACTATAATTAATTAAATCGTTATCGCAATTAATTTTTGAGTTACAATCTTCTAAAATGAAATCGCTCAGTTCAATCAGCTTAACCAATTTATCTTTTAACGGCTTTTTATCGAAAAATATTTTTCGAATTTGCTGCAGTGATACTAAATTTTTTTTCTGCTTAAAGTTTTCTATATAATAACCTACGACCAAAATTTGAGGTAAAATAAACACGCTGGCATTGTGTTAGTTTTTGATTTTGTTTTCTACCGTACGTCACGGACAATATGAGAATTTTTTTTAAGTTTCATCAACGGAGAAGGTCGTGGATTATCTTTTATTTTAGCGCAGTTGGAGACTGTGTATTATTTAAATACGTATAAGTATTTCATTAAAATTTTAAAACAATTGATGTTGTTTTTTAAGTCCCTAAAATTTACTTTTTGTTAGGTCACTAGATGCGCGCCTTACAGAATTAGCTCTTACACTTCTGCAAATTGTTATATAGCTCAAGTGTCTAGTCATTATACTCTCGCAACCTGTTGCTACAGAGTATAATAGTTTTGTTCACCTAACGGTTGTTTGTATCACCTAAAACTAATCGAGTTAGATATAGGGTTATATATATATAAATGATCAGGATGAAGAGACGAGTTGAAATCCGGGTGACTGTCTGTCCGTCCGTGCAAGCTCTAACTTGAGTAAAAATTGAGATATCTTTATGAAACTTGGTAGACATGTTTCTTGGTACCGTGAGACGGTTGGTATTGCAGATGGGCGTAATCGGACCACTGCCACGCCCACAAAACGCCATTAATCAAAAACAAATAACTTGCCATAACTAAACTCCGCAATAAGATACAAGACTGTTATTTGGTACACAGGATCACATTAGGGAGGGGCATCTGCAGTTAGAACTTTTTTTAAAAAGTGGGAGTGGTCCCGCCTCTAATAGGTTTAATGTGCATATCTCCTAAACCGCTAATGCTATAACAACAAAATTCACTAGAAGCAAATGTTTTTAGCACTTCTATTGACGGTGTGAAAATAGTTGAAATCGGGTGACAACTGCGCCCACTCCCCATATAACGGTACTGTTAAAAACTACTAAAAGCGCGATAAATCAAGCACTAAACACGCCAGAGACATTAAATTTTATCTCTGAGATGGTATAAATTGGCTTTATAGGAACCGCGTTCCAAATTAGACAGTGGGCGTGGCACAGCCCACTTTTAGGTGAAAACCCATATCTTGAGATCTGCTCAACCGATTTCAACCAAATTCGGTGCATAACGTTCTTTTCATGTTTCTATGTCATAGTGCGAAATCGGACTACAACCACGCTTACTTCCCATGTAACACCATTTTCAATTCCATCTGATTCTTTCACTTTCCACTATGCAAATCAGGTAACAATGATTATATCGGGGTAAAACTTTGCGTAAATAATGCAATTAAAGTATGCCACCTTGTGGCCAAAAATTGTCTAAATCGAACCAAAACTGTTCAAACCCCTAAGTACTAAATATGTGGACCCCAGTGCCTATAGTTGACCTTCTACCGAAAATATCAGTCAATCCACAAAGAAATCTCAAAGGAGTATACCATTTGACTTTGCGAGAGTATAAAATGTTCGGTTACATCCGAACTTAGCCCTTCCTTACTTGTTTTATATTATATTTGTATGAATTGGTATTTTGACATCGATCTTTTTTCTGTTATCTTAGGAGTTTCTGTAAGAGGGCGCCATACTGTAAGTGGTATAAAATGATCTGATTTTTAGTGTTTGCTGAAATTTAATATTGTCTCAGTATGATTATACCTCATAAGCATCGGCTGTTGATAATCTTGAACTGGATGCGTAATATTGATCTCTCTTGATAGTTGAAAAAAAATCCGTGAAATAAATCGTTTTTGTAATCTGTAATTAGTTAATAATCAACTTGCTGATCATAAGGTACGGGTTATAGAGGGATCGCTTTGTATTTTTATATAATATTAAATTTAACCCACATCCATTTAAACTCGGAGTTCATATACTTTTAAAAATACTCGCAAAATAATAGAGGGTTTCAAGCATTAAGAAAATGATGCTGTTAAAAAGTGAGGTTATTAGCAGAACAATCTTTATTGTTTAAGATTTTCAAATTTGGTGGTGAAACATAGGATTTTCGGTACATCAGAGAGACCGCGCTGTAAAGTCATGAAACCAGTTACGGCTTATGAATAAACTTATGAGCTCAGAACAATCCATGACGAAAAATTCTTTATGATGCCATTTTTTAATTCCCAATGAATTCAACAATATTTTTGTTTTTGCAAAACAGAGCTAAAATCAATTTATATTGAAGTAAATAAATATGTTTATTCACCGATTCTAGAATGCAATGAATGCACAATGACAACAAATGTGAATATATCAAACTCGAGAGGGACTTTTTAAAAGATACAGCGTCTCGACGAAGCATTAAGGATAAAGATTGACAAGGATATAGCGCAAATTACGCTTGACACAAATAAAAAAAAAATTCAAAGTGGAAAATAAACATTTGTTTTTTTTGAAACTCTTTGCTCTTCGATCTTACTGCTTAGCACTTGCTGAACTTTCAACGGCTCTTTATGCCGCAAACACCCGCTCCACTCTTATTGTCAGTACAAAAGAAGAGATTTTCAAGTGTTTTTCTATACATTCACGAATTCGTCGGAAAATGCAAATAAATCACCGAGTGTGTTTACTACCTTTGCGAGCATTATTGCCTCCACTAACAAGTGACATTTGAGTTTGTTGGTTTTGCTAGTTAGTTTGCCAGGCGGTTGTGTTCGTCGGCTTGTGTGCCCACCCACCGCTTGACAAGCTGTCAAAGTTCAGTAGTTGTTCGGTGAAAAGCGCACAGACAGCACGGGTTTCTAAGAGGAAATGTCATCAGCTGGTTGCAGTTATGCCACACATATGTATGGTACGAGTACATATCTCGTTTATGCGCGTAGTTTTGTATGACAATCGCATTGTGTTGTAAACGCTACTCCTGACAGCTTACACATGTCCTTACACAGTGGGTCGCTCGCAGTGAGCGAATGCAGTTTTTTCATGCTTTACATCTATTTCTATTTGCACAGCTTCAAGTGCGCACAAATATATATGCACAGACACACACACAGAGGCAGCCAGACACATAGCTATAGCTAGTATTTGCCAATGCTCGTTCGCTGTCATTGTTGCTTTCGATTTCGGTTGAATTTTTAATTGGGAACTGCTGCTACGTCAATTCCCTTTGAGTTGTGATCCGCGCAGCTTTATTTGCTCAGCGTCGGCTGTTGGCTACGTTGCTGCTGTTGGTGATGATGATGACGATGATGTCTGTTGGCAGCCGCAAATCCCCAGCGGCCAAAAACTGTCTCGCAGTTTACACTCTTTTTTTATTTTTGTGCGTTTATTTTTCTTTTTTTTTCCTTGTATTTTGGCATTTCGTCAGCGTTTTACAGCGTGTTGTTGGCGTTGTTGGCTTGGCTTCACGCTGTAATGCGCTTTTGTATTCTGTCTGCCGGCTTCTGGGCGCTTTCGTGTGATCCATTTTGGCCTGTCGAATTTCATCGCAGTTTTCATCGCTGACACGGGTTCACATACATTCACATACACACACACACATGCAGATTTCT